TTCATATATCAGTAAAAAAATGACAAGCACCTGAACATGAACATTGACTCCCATCTTCTTGGCCCAATACTTCATCCATGTCATGCATCGCTCTTGCTGTATCGTTGGAGCTACCATGAAGAAGCTGAACTTCTCAGTCAAAACAAGATCATTCGCCTACCCAACAAAAAAATCCAACCTGTTCTCTGACAGCCGACTCAAGGTACAATCTGTTACGTAACCACCTCTAGCATGTTGCATACCAGTATAAACCGTTGTACCTATAGGTCTGTCGATATTAGCTGAGCAAAGGTATTGTAGAAATTTCACGACGTCTGGTCCCGTAATGTCGTATTTCGTAAAACTACTCATATCAACGAGCCCCACACGTTCTCGGCAAGCTTCATATTCAGCAGCAACACTGTAATTATTTCTTTTGGTTGCGAAATGGATTTTAGAATTACATTACGGACCTGTCAAACCAGATCGGCTTTCCAATTAGAGCATCTTGTCCTTGGAAAAGTGCATTTCGTTCCGGTTTAGGATATTGCTCAAACCATAGAGGTCTTTCATAACTGAAAAACAAGAAGATGAGAACTTCCTCACCTCAACGCACATTTTTCACATATCCAGTTGCTTGTTTCCGTACTTCACCTATGTAGATGCTTTTTAATGAAGAACAGATCGAAGGCAGGCAGAAAATCGAAAAATTTTGTTGTATAAGTAAAGAACCTCTAAAACGGATTTTTCTATATGCCAAAAATTATGAATACTTCCTGGTAAAACAAAAGTGATACTACATATGGGATTTCCTACCCACATAATTCCAAAGTAAAAACAGGATGAGGGAAATTCCCTAATAAACTACTTACCCCATAATCTCCCCAAAGACTGCTCCAACATCCCGAAGATGATGATAGATTGGAGACATGCGAAGATTACGCGCTGTATGGAACTGATGCGAGTTATACATATTGCTGTAGGTCATTGCTAAAACTGACACATTTGCTTCGCACATAATGTGCTTTACCATTCACTGTTCACCTGCAATCTCTGGCGCTCGTTCCATGAGATACTGCGAATTTGCATGTAACTCAAGAAATCGGCCAACGTCTAGATGGGCTACATCAATGTCTGGGATTCCATCACATATCCAATTAGCTAGCAAATCCCCAAGGCCGCCGGCTAGCGAAAGGCCTTGACCATTCAGTCCATTTAGCACATAGTATCCGCGAGCCTGAAAAAAAATCATGCGCACAAGGTCGAAAAGTGTCAAGTCCGATCAATATGGCTTATTATCCATAACAAACTCAACAAAGGCAGAATTCAAAGTCTTACTTGGCTACTTTCGCCAACCGTAGGCTTTTTGTCAGGTGTGTATGCCTCCATACCACAAATCAGATCTCCATGATCAATTTCACCAAGCATTGGACATCGAAGCAACAGTTTTTCCAAAGATGAACCTAAAAAAGACACAATTTCAGCTAAACGCTAGAAAAAAAGCTTATACGCTTACCAAACAGGTCCCAATCTGCTTCGGGATGCGTCCAGACACCTTGAGCTGCGTTATTCCGAGCTAGGGGCCGAATGCCCTCCTCCGGAAATCCGGCACAGAGAGTTTTAAAACCGGTAGCACGGATCATAATCTTACCATCGAGATCGTTGAAAACTATAATCAATATATCATACTATAGGCAGTCTATTAAAACAAAAACAACTGATTTACGAACTTGGCGTGGTGTCGGACACACTGCTCGTGGGCAGCTTACTACTGTGAATATAAGTGTATGTGCATGGATAAGCTGCTGTCTGTACGTGACGGTACGGTAGCGTCTT